GGGGCGTGGACTGTTTATCTTACACTGTCTGCCTCCCTCCTCCCCCCTAGCACTGCCTCCGCCGGCACGCACGCCGGCACGCCGGCCGGCCGGCGGACTATGAAAGCAGCCAAATAGGAAAAATTCTAAAAGTAAAAATACTTGTAAGGATAAACTATGTTTTTTGATCCTCGTCTTCAGCTCACCCACGCGTTTCTGGTTCCCTTCAAATGGTACGGTGTCGATACGGTACAATGTTACCGTACATCATTTAGTCTACTTTTAGATACTGTCGGGGTGGTCCTCTTCAAAGTTATATTATTTGTTTCGGAGAAACTGGTTATAAATCTCATACAAGTTATTATGCAACAGTTAAACTGCCCTACGAAACGAAAGATTGCTCGGGAGAGAGGGATAGAACTCTCCCATTTAAAGACGTGGTATGCCTCCGGCAGTATTCAGAATTGTAAGGCCGTTGTACGGGCAACGTTCCTGTACTCTCTGGGACCAACTAGCTGGTCCTAAGGGGATAACAGAGGCGATTTTCCTAGAGGTGTTACCACACATTGGCTCCCAAAAGCTTTGAGTATGGTTGAGATTCTGAAGGAATCATAAGAAACTCCCTCATTCCAAACCTTTGGCAAGGTTCATTCTATTCCGAAGGCTCAGATTATCAATGACAAACTTGTTTTGCTACTTTAGTAGTGAGGTATTAAGTAGTCAGTGGAAATAAAGAGCGTTTTCTCAATGCCCATCATTTTCAGTGCTCTTGTCTTTCACGACCCGATTACATGTATGAAAAAGTATCTGATCTCAAAGTCGGGACATATACGGGTATACATTATGTAAGTTATTACAATCTTTTTTCTCTTCAAGAAACCTCCCTGATCTTCACAATTTTCGAAAAATCCTATTTTCAGGCCACCCAAGAAATGAGGCTTCTGGATGTGTTAGATATGATTATAGACAATAGCATTAGCGGTGTACCTATTGTGGATGAATCAACGATGAAAGTATGTTTACTATTTGACTTATTTACTTTTCTAGAACACGTTTCAGTAAAATAGTTCAAATAGTTTTTTAAATTCCTAAATATTAGAGCCAANAATTCTTAGAATGCATATTTAATAGTCACACGAGTCATGCACTTGGGAGGTCGGACTAGGGATAGGGTTAATTAGGAGGGAGAAAGGAAACGGTCGTTACTATTTTTTTCAGAAAGAGACATAAAGAAAGCGCCATAATGATTTCATGGAATTCAAAGAATCTCAGGTCCTCCAGATTGTGTCCCTCCTTCGGGTCAGGCTTTTTCATCAGAAGTATGGGAATGGAAATGAGATTGTTCTTTAAGTAAGTGGGGAATAGGGGGAAGGGGTAGGGAGAGGGAAGAGGGGGTTGGAGGAATGTTGTACTTGTTTGAGAAGTCCCTGGCTCATTCTGTCCGTCATTCATTACGTTTTGGCATTCGAGCGTAGTAATGCGAGTACTGAATTAGTAAAAGGACAGAGGTTGTTTCGAGCTTTGTTTACTTCCCTCCACGTCCTAATGTCGAAGTAGGACACGTCACTAGAATTGTAAAACTTTGAATAAGTTAAGAGGTAGCGTTTCTAAAAATTTCTAGTTACCAGTAATCTTAATGTTTACTGGTAACTAGAGAGAAATTCCAGGATCCATCCTGTTATTAACGCTGTGCCATTTTGGATGGGTTTATGACGTCACAGGGTGACTGATTTGGCAAATTCTCATGTCGTCTGCTCTCTCTCTCATAGCATACTATCTCTGCGTCTACAATGAAAAAGGCCAGAGCCCAATATGTTACTGCCGCTACTTGTACAGTCCCTAGAATTCCAGAAATAGGATAGTAATTCCCTATATGTTTTATGTCAAAATTAGCTTTAAATTATATGCCGAAAGCTGTTCAAAGAAGTGAAGTATCGAGAGCTCCAAAAACACACATGAAAAACGATGATTACAGATTGTTGATGTCTACACTAGATTCGACGCTGTAGCAGCGGCGTTTTCGCGGACTATAGACATGTCGATAACAGTGGAGGAAGCGATACGACAGCGGCGAAAGATTTGTGTAAGTAAACTTTTGGCATTTTATAACTTGAACGCTAACTTGTAATAATAACTTTCTTTTTGCTAATTCGAGCGTGGTTGAAATGTAGATAACATGAGTGGTCTCCGACGGGATTCGAACCTTGACCTGTGCTCTCTGCACTATATCCTTATCCATTGCGCTTCGAATTCTACCCGAATTTACTTCATTTTTTTAGTGCCTATTTATCAGGGTTCACATATATCATAAGCATCGTTTTGTCTGCTTTGACAGCAATCTTCAGTTATCAAAATGAAAGCTTTTACAGACAGCTTTTGTATTTATCGTACTCTCCTTGCAGTGTATTTACCGATGTCATCGATTTTCTGCATATTTCCCTGATGTAGTAAATAGTAATTGATCCCATCTAGATCTCACTGATGACGTCAGGGTGACCCTCTTGAGAGAACGTGAATTCTAGCCCAGTGGGTGGTCGTAATTTGAGTGTGCGAATGGGAAGCATGTGCAGAGCGGGGAGAGCGGCCAGGTGTGGATGGGATGATGTGGTAAGGGAAAGGTTATGGAGAAAGATATAAATATAAGTAAAAACATACCTAACTGCAACCAAAAATGCTTCCGCACAGATTGGATGACGAGGTAGAGCAGTAGAGGTGATGAGCTGGAAGTAAACGGAAGTCGCCCAGTTCCTTACGCACCGCTGCTCCCCATGTTTCTCTTCCTGCTAAAGAGAATGCGTGCCATTCGATTTTTCAATGAAAACCCTTGTCTAGGGGACCCTATTAGTTTCAACTAATTCCTTTTTCCATATCCATATTCCATTTTTAATTATTTATCACAGCATAACTCTGACAAAACCAGTCTTGAGCTCTTCATTTAGATGCCCTTGTAACCTCGCATGTCTTATAAGCACAGATCGAGATAATCGTAGTTTGGAGTAGGATTCTCGTGTTGTCTGCTCTCTCTCATAGCACGCTTTCTCTGCGTCTCTGCTAGAAAAGTTAGAGTCCAGACATGCATACACTACCATCGCTGCCTGTACAGTTTCTCTAAATTTTGCCAAAATGAGAGTACTGTTTCAAATATTGTGACTGATTTTTTTCGATTTGTCACCGTTCGACTACTTGTCTTCACCTGCATATCTACTATACTTATTATACATGTGCATATATCCGCAATTTTACATGGAAATTTATTTACTTGTTTATTACTGAATTGTCTTCAGGGTGATCGTGATGGTGTAGTGACTGCACCGGAGGACGTCAAGGTATTAGATTTGGTCGAAACGTTCGTCGAGAAGAACGTACAACGTGTGTTTCTCGTCGACGATTGCTTCAGGTTGAAGGTTGGTCGTTCCTCCGTAGCAACAGGTTTTTGAGAGTATGCAACTTTGTTTATTACTAGCAAAAAGCAAAATACATTTTGTTACACGTCTATATAGGCGTTCTGGAGTAGTTGTGGTCACGTGTTTTCAATGTTTGCTGCAAAGGCCACAATGTGCATACTCATCTTTGGTAATCTGTAGTGGGTCGGAAGCGTTAATTTCTACTCGCTTTAGCCGTCTATAATAGCGTACCGACCGCATAACAAGGGCTGCTCATCACCCTTATCTTATATTCGACGTCTCCAACCAAATTCTCACACTGTCT